AGTATTGGTCAAAACCTCCAACAACTCTTGTACGAGGAAGTCATTGTGGTCCTTAAGCCCTCGCTCATTCGTAGATGCTGATGTAATCAACGGAACTCCAAATTTTTTTTTTACATGTCCACTATCAATGCTTTCTACATAGAATTATTTTATAACAACTTGATAGTATCATGAAGTGTTTTTTGTCCATGTTATATTAGGTTATAACAGCGATGGCCTGCCACTTGACTCTAGAAGAGTTGTGGACAAATTCCAAGGACGGAAAAGGAGTGTGCTATCTGCCTGCTGAACTACAGGTTGTGTTCCGATTATACTTAATGACAATTTCCTCTCACCAAAAAAATTACAACACATGTTTTTTTAACGTGAATCATATTGTGTTGACAAAATTTCAATTGTGCAACTACCACATGGGCAGGAACTAGTGATTTCATGTGGAATAACACCCAAGATGGCATTAGACCTATACCAATCAAAATTCCTTAGTCGAACCAATATGGTGAACAAGGTAAACTGTTCGTCTTAATAAGTATTACATGGTTTGCAGTTTATTTTTTTAATACGTGTTGACAATTTCCGCATATGTAGGTGTGTGTTCCGATGAGAGATAATGCCCATTGGTACTTGGCTGTCATTAAGTTGGACAAGGAAGAAGTCCATATCTTGGATCCACAACCAAATGAAGACCGCAATTCCTTTCGACTACAATCTGTTCAAACAATGGTAAATATGTGACATTGTGCCGTTATAACGCAACAAAATGTAAATAACTCTTTCTAAGTACAAACGTTTCTTAATTTGTACAGATGTGCTTTATGCAAGCCTTGTGGAAGATTCTCTATCGTGAACAAGGTCCGGGATTGTCGCCACCAAGGATTGCGGAGTTTTCGTACCCAACTCCTTCAATTGTGCAACAACAACTTCATCGGTAAGTATGCCCATTTTTTTGTGATATTAAACGACGACTTATCAACTTGGTTCTTATCACGCAATGCTTTTATTTTATGTAGGTCTGACAGTGGAGTCTGGGTATGCATGTGGATGTATGGCGCAAGCTGGGACTCCTCTTATATTTGGGTAAAGACAATTCTAATTCCCATATTAGAAAACCACAATTGATTGTTATTTTTGAATCATGCGGTAAGCACCATGTTTGTTGATGTTGATAGCCATGCACTCAAGTGAGGAGGATGCAGATCGCTTTGTACCTTGTTCGAGAGCCCATGAACTACATAAGGCATATGGTGCTCACGGAAGCAAGAAGAGTTGCACCTCAAGTTGAAGCTGCAGTGGAAGAGTACAAGACAACCCATGAAAAGAGGAAAAAGGAAAGAGAAGAGCACAAGGAAACCCGGTCAACGAGCCCAAAACAACCTGATTTTGAGTTCTAAGTTTTTGGTTTTGATGAAGGACAACAGTTATGTTTTTTTTTTCTCAGGATGATGGACAACCGTTTTTAATTTGGTTCGGTGAATGCTTATTATTTTTGGTTTTTATATTTGGTTTTTGGTTTGGTGAATGCTTTTTATATTTGGTTTTTGGTTTGGTTTGGTGAATGGTTTTAATATTTGGTTTTTGGTTTGGTTTGGTGAATGGTTTTAATATTTGGTTTTTGGTTTGGTTTTTGGTTTGGTGAATGCTTTGTATATTTGGTTTTTGGTATTGTGAATGCTTTCTATATTTGGTTTGGTTTGGTTTGTTTTTTCATGGAAATGGCAAAGGGACTTCACCAAAATTCCACCTTCCAACTTGTGAGTGAGGTTGCGTCTGTTCAAGGCTTCAAGCCATTGTATCTTGTAGAGAGGTTTAATTGGGATCATGTATAGTTAAACTGATTGGCTCCCAATCGTATAATTAAATTTGCATTCATGTATAGGTAACCCAAAAGGTAAAACTGATTGGAAGTAGTGATTTACATTGATGAGGAGAGTGGCTTAAGTACCAACTCTTGAACAGATTGAAGCTACAAAGTAGGAGCCACTAACCCACTAACTAAAACTAATGACGTTACTAACTAATAATAATAAAATTAATTATTTACAGAAATTGAATTTATGCACAGCCCTTATCATTCCATTCCTTGAATTTCCACCAACGATGTTTAAGCTCCCCTTTTAGTCAGAGAATTCATTGTAGTAATAAATACAATAAAAAGGCATACATAATTAATGGATTCTTTATTGTGTATAATTAAAAGGATATTTTACTATAAACGAAGCATGATAGATCCACAGGGGGATAAAAGAAGCATGAGTCTTGATGAAAAAGGGGAAAAAAATCACCATAGATAAAAAATCATTATAATCAACCTAATTGGAACTGCTTAGAACAAAAGCGGATTAAAATCTCCCCCAATGAAATTCATTTGCAATTTCATAGGTAGTCCCTACTTCCACTTCTATAATTTTGACAAAACATTGCAATTTCATCAATAGTCCCCACTCGTGGGCCAATTTCAATTGCAACCAAATTTGCACCCTTGCAATAGCTTCTCACATCATAGCAAGTGTAGGATGCAATTGCACCTCCTTGCTTAGGGATGACCATTACTGCATCTCGTCACCTGTCTTAGGGAAATTAGCCATGGCAAATTCACAAAATACTGCATGCATAGAAAAATATTTGTCTGGATAATTAAAAAAATGGGAGACTTTCCTAGTCAGATGATGTACTGGCTCCCCTCAATACCTGACAGTTTTGAGTGCTGGAGAAAAAGTCTGGAAAAAAAAAAATAACGAAGCCTTACAGTAAACTTCTTAACAAAACACATCCAATGCTGGCCCCTTCACTGCTCCATCCCGCCCTGCACTGCTCCACCCCGCCCTGCATCAATCGACTCTCATGTAAGCCGAGGACGTTTGCTTGAGGATGCCTCAGGGGTCTCTTCATGCTCCGTATGCCGAAGTTCATGAAAAGTATTGGTCACTTCGACGATACGGTAGACTGGCAAATAGGCGGAATGGTCCTCCCTAGCATAAACCCCCATATCCATCCCAACCCTTCCAAGAAAGGTGGTCAAGAAGGTGGCATATGGAAAGGCAGTGTACCAGTTTTCCCCTCTAGGAGCCGCCTCAACCATGTTCACGCACATGAGAGATGCGAGGTTAAGAGGAACACCTCTTTGAGCTTGCACAAGGATAAACAGGTCAAGTGTACGAATTATCGAATGACCTCTGTACCTTGGCATGAAGCAGTTGACGATCATCCAATGGAGGAATCGAAGAGGATCTGGGAGGTAAGAAGCCTGGATGCGCCCATCCGTCAGTTTCCCCAGTTCAACTTCAAAATCAAAATCGTACAGCCGCCGAAGATCGCTTCTGCTATCAATGTGGTGTCCTGCGGCGGGGAGATCGAGGATCTCAGCAAACTGATGAGGCTGGAAGCAGACTCTATGACCCAGGAAGACCGACACGAGATGAGAATCGGAGGGACCAGACAGCTCTAAATTGTGGTAGAACTTCCTCACCGCATGCGGGCAGTAACTGGTGCTTCCTCGACTCCGGAGATCGATGAACTTTTCCCAGCCAAGATTTTTAATTAACTTCTTAACTTCTTGAGGGAAAGGACTCAGGTTGATGAACTCGTACTCGGCCACAATAGTTGTCTTGCTCGTGAATGAAAGATAGTCCGCGAGACTTGTGGTGGTTCGGCAGTCGTCGTTTGATAGAGTTAGAATGCCCATGTTTGCCATGGAGTCAGATGAAGAAGGAACAAGGGAAGGTGAAGATATGGGGGGAAAAAAATTGTAGGGAAAGAGAGATTGTAGGTGTAAGAAAAAGTGGGGGTTGAGTGTGGAGACGTGTGATGGAGACGGTTGAGTCTGGAATGTCAAGAGTTAGAAGATTTGGGAAGATATGTAGTAATGATGATGTTAACTCGTGTAGGTTAAACTAGGGTAACTAAATCTAGTTAAACTAGGGTTGGCGCTGATACCGCAGGAGAAAACTAATGGGCTCGCACGTTCCAGGCCCAATTTTGAATATTTCATGGGTCATGTACAAGCCCACGTTTGAATGTTATTTAAAAGCCTGCAAAAATCAATGATCAGACCCAGTCCAACTAGAATTAGTCCTAAACGCAGCGTTAATACATAAACACAAATTAAGGAGACCTCTCCATCTGATTCGAATCAAATTAGGTCTTCTTCATCTCCTTCCTCAATCCTCTGGGCGAGACGAACACTGCATATCAGGAAACCTTAATTTCACCGAGAGATATAATCACAATAACGCTAAGACAAGATGACAAAGCACTAGTGACATGAACCCTAGGGTTAGCAAACCTCTTTCAAGGGTTTTTTTCCAAATGAAAAGTTCGTTGAACACAATAATAGACATGGTCGCCGTAATCGTGTTAGAAAGAGATAGGCGAGGGGAAATACACTGGCGAAGAAGAAACAAGACAAAATTATTTTGGGAAATTCAATCTACGTCGAATGTGGATGGGGAGCTTCTCTTGGAACTGTGAAGGGGCGTCCCTCCAAGACGAGAGAGGGATCGTGTAATTGGTTAGGGAGACTGGAAATTGGTTTGGGCGGCAGTGGGTCTACCCAATTGGGTTTGGGTCTTAATCCATTTAATTTAACCGGGGCAGTTAGTTGGACTAGGATGAAAACTAACTTAACGCGGAGGAGGCAATTTGTAATTTGTTTAGTTATTTAGTGGCGCAGCTAGGTTTAACAAACGTGAGCCGTGAAGATTGAAAACGAACGGTTAAGATCGGTCAAGGCACCCGTACCCGGGTTTTGCCCTGGGCACCGTAGAAGTCACCTATAATCACTATCACATAAACAAACAATGCAAACTACAATACACCGATTTTCTTATATATACATGTATATTATTACGCATGCATTGACGACAATTCATCTATTTAATCATCATCAAAATCAAACCAACCCTTAGATGTTAATTGCGAAAGATTGAAGATAATGCAAAGGATGAATACTCCGATACACACAAAAAATGATGAATACGTAACAAAGCAACAAGCACAATGGATCATTGACCGAAATTCATCTGAATCATAGAAGGGTCAATCAGTTCAATCTCCCGCCGCTCATCACCACTACTGCCTGACCTCTCTTCTTTCTTCCTTACACAACAAATAACATAACAATCACAACCACCGCCACCAAACTTCTTAGCCAAATCCCCATCTAACGTGAACTCGTGCATCACCCACCCGTTATTCTCACTCTCCCTACTACTCCCACCACCGCCGTCCTCCGCCGCCGTCTTCACTTTGTACGAGAATGTCCGCTTCTTCCCGATGACGAGGCTCTCCTTGTCCTCGGGATCGATGCGTATCTCGTAGTCCCTCTGCGACTTCCACACGCTCTGCCCGAAACTCCGCTCCACGCGCTGCCCCTTCTCCTCCTTCTTCTTCTTCTTGAGCCGGGTGAAGAAGTAGAGCCGCGACTCGCCGGTCAGGTCGAACCAGTGCTTCCACTTCTCCTCGTCGTCGTAGAGGTCGCACTCGAGGACCGCGCCCGGTTTGAATCCACGTGGATCGCACGCTTTCGGCCACAGGTAGTCGGTGATTAGCTGGGTTTCGGTCGGGTCGAACCGGGTGCCCGGTGGGAACCGACCCGGGAAGATCATGGGTGAAAAGAGTGTTGCCCGGCGATCGATTATCGAGACGAGATCAATGGGAAACGAGAAAGCGCGCACGTACGAGAACCAAACAGAAAGAAATTAGCGGTTTTGATTTATATCATTATATGTATGTATGGGTTTTTTTTCCCGATTTGATTTTGGTATTCCTTTTTTGTTTCTAATTCTGATTCATCATTTCTTGATCTTGGTTCTTGGATCTTGTTGAGTGCTGAGGTGGCTTATACCGAAATTGTTGATCTAGGGTTACGTTGCATGCATGCAAGCTTTTGCAACACCGTGGTTGTGGTTGCGGGCCGACCTCCAGTGGCGGACCCAGATATTTTACATAGGGGTGTCCTCTTTTAAAAAATAAATTAAATAAAAATAAATTAAATAAATAAATAATAAAAAAAATTTAAATAAGAAAATACCTTACTCATACAACTTAAAAAAATCAATGATGTGTTTTCATATTCAGAAATAATTGTAGAATACACTTGGTGTCTAGATCGGCTAATTGTTCCCGAATAGCACCGGCTCCAGTAGATATTTCTCGATTTCGAAATGTATCGAAGCCCTAGGTAGTAAAAAAAGCGGAACAGTGCTCAAAAAATTTGTCTCTATCATACTAGACAATTATTCGCGAATTAATCACATATTCGATTTCTAAACTTGTTCTTAATGTAATCCAAAGTTGAAAAGACTCTTTTAACACTTGTCGTACAACCATAAAATAAATACAAATTAAGGGTAGCTTGAAATTTATTTAATTGTTAAGTTTTGAAAATAATTAGAAATAGGGAAGCACATTTTACTATTACACAGTGTTTAAATCGAACAACATATGGGTTGTAGCCTAGTGGAAATTATGTTTATTAATAATAATAGTGTCCTATGTTTGAATTACCCAAACTACCACTTATATTCTCATACGCAAACTAAAAGATAAGAGTAGGATAATCATTTTTTCAAATTTTAAGGGTGTCCCGATTATCAATTATAATTTTTTTGTCCATTCGTAAATTTCCACCGGGGGTTGTATAATCGTTTTCCCAAAATTTACACGTGGGTCCGCCACTGCCGACCTCCGTCCATTATCAGCCTTTGTGGGCTCGGCACGTGTGTGAACCAACACGCTACGCCACCTGTTTCCCCTTTCTATTTGTTCAAATATTGGTGATGCTAATTTTACCAGATGCATTTTGATGAACGAATTTGCCAAGTTCCCGTAGATCGCATGAGAAGAAATGTAAATCGAAACACCACGTAGCTCACAAATTCAAAGCAAAAAAACATGATATTCAACCATTCATGGATACCAAAATAGACAAATAGAAAAATAAACCTGTGATATTTTATTTTTTTACATTGAATTGAGGAGTTCAGCATTGGAATTCTAGCCTCCTAGTCCGTTCGTTTACCTAATTAATTGTTACTTTATTTTATTGATCGATTGATTTATTTATATTTTGATTTAAAATTCCACTCTAACCTCCAATTGCAAATCAATAATCATTTTATTCCCCACTTTTGGTTTGATTTTTGACTTGGAGTCTTATACTCGATCTTGACGGCTTGACCAACTGACCCTCCCAACCCTAACCCGCTAAAAAAAGCAATCACTCGGTTTTGGTTCGTTCGGGTTTAGGACAGTGGTGGATTCAGTGGCCGTTTTCGGGCCACGGCCCAGCCCTCTTTGGGGATGGCAATCAAACCCATGACCGCGGGTACCCGACCGCCTCCGACCCAGTCAACGCGGGGAATCCCCAATTTGACCGGGTATGGGGCGGGTATGGGTAAAACCCGCAAAAAGTTTGATGGGTATGGGGCGGGTATGGTTTTAGCCTCCCCCGCCCCATACCCATACCCGCCCCACCAAGAGAATTTCTTCACAAATAAAAAAATATGTGGATTAAATTGTAATCTATCAATGATGATGATGATAACTCGAGAAAATAAATAGTAGAAATGCAATTGAGTAACCACCTTAATCAAACCTAATTCATTTCCCTCAATTCTCCTTCCACTCTTTCACTTTCCCCCTTGTTAACAAGATTATGTTAGTTAATTATTACTTAGTAAATGTATAAAAAGTTAGAGCATAATATTTAAAAAATGCTGTAGCCTATATTATGTATTAATGGATGTTTTAAGATCATATTCTTTGAATCGTATTTAGAAAATGATCGTGTTTTGTTGACTTCATGATATAATAGGTTTGTTTATGGTTATAATTAAAACTTTTCTCGTAAGTTTTAGGTATAATAATGTTGGATGTACGGGGATGGGTATTACCCATGGGTACCCGAAACCCACGGGTATGGGGATGGGTTTGCAAAACATTCCCCCGCATGGGTATGGGGCGGGTATGGATTTGGGTATTTGAAGATGGGGATGGGGATGGTTTAGGCAAACCCGCCCCAAACCCGCCCCATTGCCATCCCTAGATACAGAGCTAGTATAACACTTGTAAAATTTCAATTATTGGGTCTAACCGTGTTCAACTTTTTTCAAATGTGTCCCAATGCTCTATCTCGTCTCGAAAACTGACAAGGATCATGGTGTAGCATCCCCTCTCTTCTAGTAGCCGCCCTTCCTCCAAGACTTTAATCTGGAATTTCTCTACTATGCAGCATTTGGCCTTGGGTCAAGGGGGTTCACTAATATCTCTTCTTCCCGGAGAATGGGATCGAACTCTCCTCTTTTCTTTTGCTGTGTCAAGCCAGTTCTCTGATCCGCGGGGGACCAAATAAGCCGATGCTTTCCTTTATTAATAGTAAGCGTCTTCCCTTCCTCTCCTTCTTGTTCTAATTCAAATGCGGGCAACTTCGTTCCTTCGCCCTTCGGGCTCACTACTTCGTTCCTTCGGTCGAACATCCGTCGCTGTTTTAGTAATGAAGGAATTTTTGTTGAAGATATCCTAGATCTGTGCTATTATTGAAATTGTTTATTGTTGGTATGTAATATTATTTAGTGTTTGGAGTATGGATAACGAAGGAGCCATTCTCTATTTTATTCACTACCTCCCCACTCCATCGTTGGAGATTTCGGATCGAGTCATAATATACCGGAAATTCTTAGCTCCAACCATTTCAGTTTTCTATTAGTGATTTTGTCTTCTTTTTCATATTTTAATTCTTGATTGATTGATTTATTTATTTTATTTTTCGGTAAGTTCTTGATTTATTTAGGGGTGGGCAACGGGACGGGACGGGATACCCGTCCCGTTTTAAACGGGTACCCAGTCCCATTTGGAGACCAAAGTGCATCCCATATCCCAAACCCATATGGGAAACGGGTACCCATTACCCGTGCGGGACGGATAACGGGTACCCATATTACCCATAAAATACCCAAAGTTTAAATGACCTCACATTACATATCTTAACAATAACATGCTCTTGCGGGGAATAATAAGAACACGATATGATCAAAAACATAAATTCAATCCCTGTATGTGCAAACATTCATTTCAAAACATCCCAAAGGCAATTACATCCCAAAGACAAAGTGACAAACAGATAGATGACAAATCACAAATGTGCAAAACAGCGTAGGGAGCCGCGTTCCCCAGCCCAGCTACACACTCAAAAGACGTCATAACTGCTTGCATCTGCTGGTAGTATTGCTTGTACCTCCTGTATACCTACATCCATTACAGCAACCAAAACGATTGAGAAATAACTAACAGATAAGTCAAAGAGTAGTAATGGCAGCATGTATACACATTATCAAGATAGTAGAGTGATTATCTGCGGCCTATCTCCATAGTTGAGCCAAGTAAGGCTGTGTTATCCCTTTCTGTTGGATCCCCTAAGACCATTGTTTATAACTAAATCCTACAAATGATAGGTAGCATGAGACTACTGACCACCACCATTTTATTATAGAATAAGAAGCCGAGTATCGAAGTGACAAACAAGAAAAAGATTGGGGCAAGTTAGTGGATGGACAGTAAAAGAAAGTAAAACAAAATGCTCATTTTAATGAATAAATAAGATCCCAAGCCAAAGCTCATGCTAGCTTTCCAGCTTATATAATCTTCTTTTAGTAGTAAAGATGAGAATCACATCCCAAACTGATCATTAATTCATTAATGAAAATAATAAAAGCTTGCAGGGGCGCATATATCCACATAAACACTATACCAGGATAGGAACCAATCTTTAGGAAATGCCAAAGCAATCAAACATGTGCAGAACAATGAAGCTCACAACCAGAGGTGATATCAAACACATAGATCCTGGGATACTCTTACCTTCTACTGACTTGTGGAAGATGAATTTCCCCCTCCACTAGCGGCAAATGATAGTGCTCCAATGGATTGCAATACTATGTTAAACAAATATCAAATAACAAGTTACTCATACAAGCATTAGTTAGAGTAAATATTTATAAGTAAAAGTAAAAGTAAATCGCTATCCCATACCTTCTTGGTATTCCTTTTCTTGTTCGGATTCAGGCACATCTTCTTCATCGATTAAAATTATATTGTTGTTGCTTCTCAACCAATCAGCACCACAAATCAAAGCCTCAACCATCTGGGGAGCCAAAGAACTTCTAAACTCGTTTAGAACCCTTCCTCCTGTGCTAAAAGCCGATTCGGAAGCAACAGTTGATATTGGGATGGCCAATACATCCCGAGCAATTTCAGCCAAAACAGGAAATCGCAAACCATGAGTTGACCACCACTTAAGAATATCGAAGGAGTCCACAACCGAAACCATTATCTTCTTGTTGCTTCTCCTTGAATTGACTCTCAGTCAAATAGAGTGTCAACTCAGAAACATCATTGTCGTCTCCTTCCTCATCACTATCTTCTATAGCACTACATGAACCACGATTTGATAGCCTTCTTACATCAACATTAACCGTAGCCTGACTCCGAGAATGTGTAGAAGAGTCTTGAGAGTTGGAGTTCATCCTTGGACGAGGTGGAAGCAACAAATTCTTGTAATACTCAAAGAGTTCAGAAAACAACCCTTTCAATTCGGCCACCATCGAAGCCGCCCTTCCACTCCGTACACTTTCTTCAAACATTTTTGGACATGCTTCAGTTTTTGTCGTGGATCCAAAGCCGCAGCTATGTATAGGATCTTGTTCATCCTGTAGTTACCCATTGCTTCCTCATCCCAATACTTAGCAACCTTTGACCTCATTCGTCCGGCCATTGATCTAACCTTAGGATCTTGATGTTTTTCCACAGTAGCTATGTGATCAAATATATCACACATCTCTTTGAAGAATAGATGAGATGTCACATACGAGGTGCCAGAGACAAGACAAGTCAAATCATAGAACTTCTTCAAGTATTCCATCATCCAACGCACATTTTCCCAATCCTCCGGTCCAGGTGGACCAACAATCTCACCACGGTGCATGATTTTGTTTAACTCAGTCTCAAATGCAGGCAACATCCCTGCATAAACTGGAAAAGCAATCTCGAATGGTTCAGCGGACTCTAACATTAGATATGTTGAGTTCCACCTTGTTGGTACATCAAGACTTAGTGATCTCTTGCACTGGATGTTCATGCTCTTGGTTGCTCTATTCCATGTCTCTTCTCTAGATGGCGAGGCAGTAATCCACCTCACAGCTTCTCTAACCCTTCTCACTGATACCCCAATCTCATCTAAGCCATCAGAAACAACCAAATTAGTGATATGGGCTACACAACGCATGTGTAGGTATCTCCCCCCTGAGATGCTTGTCCCCCATTCTTCAAATTTCTCCCTCATATGGCGAATAGCTGCATCATTAGCCGAAGCATTATCAACTGTGCAACAAAGTACATTCTTCAAATCCCACTCATTCAAACACGTCAGCACCGCTTGTGCAATGTCCTCCCCTTTATGACTAGTGATTTTCTTGAAGCATATAATCTTCTTATGGAGCTGCCAACTTCTGGAGATGAAATGAGCTGTGATAGTTATATAATTATCATTCTTCAACGATGTCCAACAATCTGTTGTGATTGAAACCCTTCCCATGCCTTTAATTTTAAAGAAGGACTTCAAGCTATCTTTTCTCTGAATGAACAACTTTGCACAATCTGTCCTCACTGTCTTCCTACTTGGGATTTTGAACATGGGGCAAACTCGAGACATGAAATGACGAAAGCCCTCCCTTTCACAAAATCTGAACGGTTGCTCGTCAAGCATAATCATTTCTGCAAAAGCTAACCGTGATTCTTCTTGATTGAATCGCCGAGTTGATATTCCCCCTGCTCCGTCCCCGGATGCACTAGGCTGCAAACTCAGAGTTGTTTGTTTAAGTTGCTCCAAATGTTTCTTGTCACAAGAGATCTTATGATTCTTCAAGCCATTGGTGCCATGGGTGTTTCCAACAGCAATGGTAATTTCACAACGATTGCATTTTGCTTTACGAACTTCAACCGGTGGGTTTCCTTCTTTAGCTAATAACACCGAGTATCCTACCCAATGTGGTGATCGAAGGGCAGGTGCTTTCCGCTTTCTAGACGCTGATGTATCCTTGTCACTTTCTTCACTACCAATACCCACATCGTTACTTGCTTGTTCAGTTTGAGGGGCTTCATTCCCTTGACTGGCTTCATTTCCTTGACTAGCCATGGAAACTTGAAACCAAATCAACAGAAACCAAAAAGACAGATGCTGGAAATTAGAAACCTAAACTAGTAATTAGCACAAGAAATAACATTATAACAAGTAACTCAATACAAAATTAGAAAGCAACCAAGAAGGCCTAATATATATGGACATTCTGTACAACACATTCAATTCAATCACAAAGGCATGATATATATGGACATTCTGTACACATTCAATCTCAAACAATTAAACAGAAGATGAACATAGAAGAAAAGTAATTAAACAGAAGAAGTTCTTTACTTTGAATGATGTTAATTGCAGTCTAAATCGTATAATTAAACAGAAAGTCCTTCAATTCAATTCACCTCGCTGCTGCTGCTGCTGGCCGCCGGGTAATAAGGAAGCCTGCTGCTGCAAGTGCTCCGCTGCTGGTCAGCCTCGCTGAGTGGAATGGAGACTGGAGGCGGCGGCTGCGCAGAGGAGAGGGACTGAGAGGGAGAGCTCAGAGGCGGCGGCGACGGTGAATGAAGGAGCAAGGAGGCGCCGGCGACAGGTTGAGTCTCTTCTCTCTCGACTCTCACTCCCGAGTCCCGAAGACGACTCCTCCGCTTCGACCTCCCAGAACTGAGAAGCTCCAGCCTCCAGAGAAGAGAAGCTTGCTGCGCGTAAAGTCCAGAAGCTGCTGCCGTGCTGCGCGTCCAGAAGCTGCTACTGCTAGTGCTAGGGCTGCGTCTGCGTGCGTGATGCGTCGACTCTCACCTTCTCAGTTCTCACAGTCTCAGTGCAGTGGGCAGTGGCAGTGGGTATTGGGTAAGGGCCGACCGGCCGAAAATTATTCTTGAATTGGGCTGGGCCTGGGGCCCTGGGCTGAATATTATTTAAATCTGTCTTTGTCTTTGAATGGGTACAACGGGTACCCATATTACCCAAACGGGTATTAGCGGGTAACCCGCGGGTACCATATTGGGACTGTACAATTCCAAGTCCCATCCATTTAAAATATTACGGGTAATACGGGTACCCGTAACCCTTAAAAACGGGACGGGAACGGGTATACCCAAATACCCGTTTCCCGTTGCCCACCCCTAGATTTATTTAGCATAATTAAAAATATTAAATATTAAGAAAAACAAAAAATCAATCCATCAATAACAAACTGACATGTGGATGGTTGGAGCTAAGAATTTTCCATATATACCCGGTCATAATTTCATTCCCTCCCTCCCTTCGTATACAATAATTTTTGGTAGATAAAATAAACTAATAAAGCAACAACATTGGTAAAAAAAAAAAAAAAACTTTCAACGT